CCCCCCCCCCCGACCCCATTAGGGAATAAGAGGTTAGGATAAAGGATGGATGTTTATTTTCAGGCAGATTTTTATTGTATGGTAGGTTTACCTCAGCAGACAGATGGTCCAAACACTGATCACACAAACATGACCACAGAGCTCCATGCGAGTACAAAACACTTTGGTTATACTGACCAGCTTTTAGTAATAAATGGACCCCGAGACATAAAGAGGTTTGGCTTCCTGCTGCACTTTAGCAAGCAACAAAAGGATGTTCAGGAGTGTAAAACACGGCCAACAGGAGCAGGACATGATGCTGGACAAGAGACACTAACGTTTAAGGGTTCCTCCTCATCAGCCAGCAGTCAGAGGCGTGTCCCTACAGCAAAGCTTCTCTGAGCTGTCCTATGGAGGCCTGGGCCGTGTTAGTCAGCACCAGAGGCGGTTCCCGCCGCCCCAGGTTCTGCTCTGCCCCTCACATCTTGTAGCACAGATTTAGAAAACGTTTGAGAGGTATCTGTGCAAGTCAGTTAGTTAAAAGACTTTGGATCGTACACAAAGACATACTGGAATCTAATTGTCAATGATGCGAATTATGTCTAGAACACAAAAGCATATCAAAATACATTCATACAAACGGAGTGAAACAACAAATCCTGTAAAAAGAGAGAAAGCAGGCTGTCACAGTCAGCCGTTCTCTGAGATCCAGTAGGACCTCCCTCCTCCATTCCTCTAGTTACCCCGCCCCCCCTTCTCTTTATCACCTCTTTGAAAAGAAGTAGCAATAGTGTTCACTGCTGGTGGGTGAAAGTCCCCACTCAGACCCCATCCTCATCTCTGCTCAGGTCCAAAAGGTCCTACTGTCAGCACTATGATGGGGAGTGCCAGAATCTGCTCTCCGTGTGTCCCTAAAGGTGGAATCAGCTCCTTAAAGGCAGCACCAGCACAACTGCTATCAAAACATTGTTAAAAACATCCACACATCTTTGCTGGCCCCCCTCTCAGAGAGCACTGGGTTAAGGCAGGGGACCAGTAACAGCATTTAGAGCTGGCCCCACATGGACTGAGGCTGTGGGGCTACATGGAGCTGGACAGGACCCCCCCGGCTGCCCGGGTTAAGACAGAAAGCAGGTTTAAGGGACTCCCAGTAGCTGGGCTGTTAGTTTCAGTTTAGTGAGAACTAGGAGAGAGAGGAGGTGCTTTCACTTACGCTGTGTGAAACGACAAAAACGTGGATCTAAAATAAGAACAAAAAGACTAACACTGTAAAATTCTACTTAAAAACCAAAACTCCACACATATAATCCATACAAAAGAAGCCCACACCCCCTGATCCCCGCTGCTGGCTTTGGAAGAATCAGGTAATAAATAGGTCACCGGGAGCCCCCCCACCAGAGGAGCTGAGCACAGGCAGACAGGCGTCCGGGCCGGGCCCCCCCGCCTCCCCCCTACATCCCGTAGGAGGCGGCGCTCAGAGCGGGCCTCTTCTTGCCTTTGATCTTCAGGGAGCCGTAGCGAGCCTGTGGACAGAGCAGAGCAGCGTGAGCGTCCACACAGCCCTGACCAGCCGACGGACACAGAGGGGACTCACGTCTTTGCGGACTTTGGATCTGGTGATCTTGACGCTCTGCGAGCGCCTCAGCCCCTTCTGGCTGACCGCCTCGTCCTCAGAGAAGATGGGCTCGTTCTCATCATCTGTCCGGTCCTCCTGCTCATACAGGTACTCTGAAAGCACACAGACAGCTTCATTTATAACATGTTCAAGCTTTTAAAGAAGCATCAGGACCTGACTGGACTTCACAACATCCAGCAGCTCCCAGAGTGGATGGAAAGTGAAGCAAACGTGACCTTTTGAGCACCTCTGAGATAGAACTGTATTGAACTCCTCTGAGTGGTCACATGGACAATATTCTTAAAGAAGACTCTGATCAATCAGTCCTTCAGGCATCTGAGACCTGCAGAGCTGTGTGCTGGAGCCTCCAAAGCTCCTCTGAGTGGAGCTAGAAGCACCAGCTCAGCTCTCCCCTCATGCACTGAGCTGTGTGCACAGGTGCTGGCTGGAGAACAGCCCCCGGCCACTAGGGGGCAGCAGTGTTGAACTATCTGTTTGACATTGATTTAATTTAGGAGACACAATCTTAACCGGCACCATTCTGTGGAACACAACTAGAACAATTAAGACAAAATAATGCCGGAAGAAAGTCAGAAAATCATTTGTTTGACTTTTCCTCTTTTGAGAATCAGACTAAATGTAACTGAGTTAATAAATTGAACTTGGGAATTGTTTTGAGACTTGAAACAATAAAATGAGCTGCAACAATTTAGGATTGAAACTATCCGTTTTAAAAAGGGAAACAATTCTGTGCTTAGTGTCAAACTCAGTGTCTGACCTGAGTCTCATGGCACACATTTAAATGGGGGGAGGAAAAACCAACAATGGACGTGGACACACAAATCTTCTATGAACTGTAACTGGGACCAGCAGAGGTCAGCAGAAGCTTCCTGTCTGCTTTCAGACTTTCACCAGCATGTCCAGAACACAACACATTAGCTTCAAATGATGAGAAGAATCCAGAATCCACCAGTCTCTCCTGAACATTAACATGACAGTCTGGTTACACCCCCCCCCCCTTCATCCCTTCATCTCTCTGCTTCTCTGACTCAGATCTCTGGGTAATTACGGGATTCATCCTGTGTTCTTCTCCTTCTCCTCCTGCCATTCCTGAGCCCACTGCCCCTAAAGGTCCTCTCTTTCAAAAGATGTGGAGGAGTTCTACTTTTTCTGGATCTAGCTCTGGCTGTTGTGACATCTGGATTCTATAAGAGGCCCCTTCCACCCTCAAGTGCTGCAGAGAATTCTTCCCTCTTCTCATTTCTCAGGAAAGAGAAAAGCCCCACTAAACATGAAAAGTCTACACTGGTCTACAGCTCCTGGCCAGTAGAACACTCTAACAGAGTAGACAGTAGAATATGATGTAGTATAGCATGCAGAATCATAATATTCTACCAGATGTGCTTAGCATAGTACTGGTCCACATCAGTGTCTGGTCATGAGCCATTTTGGTTAAAACATCAAGAAAGGGTTTATCCAGAAGTGTATGGGTGACATCTTGTAAAAACACATCACATCACACACTGAATAAGGAGTTATTCAGTCAGTCCTGCTCTCATAAAGCCACCACATGGTAGACGGGTTGCTCATATTCAGCTCCCCTGTCGTCCAATCAGCAGGCGTTTACACCAGCAGCTGCTCCACCTCAGAGTGTTTCTCCAGAGAGACCCAAAACATCACAGCCAGCTTCAACCGGACCAGGAGCTGCTAAACAAACCAGCATCCCTCTGTCAGAGGCAGTCGGTGGGGGGGCAGGAGGAGTGGTGGAGGGGGGGCGGTACGGGGGGGAGTTTCCTGAACAGAGCTGGATGGAAACATGAGAAGAGTCTGGAGGCCTTCAGCTCAGCTGGGGGACGGCTAACTAAAGGCCTGGTTTATCCTTCGCTGTGTCCAGGAAACAGACACGAAAACAAGCTGTTACACTGAAGACAGTCAGGCTCAGGAGCCCCCCCCCCCCCCCCCCCCCGGAGGATGAGAGCTGTGTAATATCTGATGATCTTCCTCTGGGAACTACATGACTGAACAGTAGGGGATTATCATCCATCCCTCCAGCTATCATCCATCCATCATTCCTCCATCTATCATCCATCCCTCCATCCATCCATCCTCCATCCATCCATCCATCCATCCAGCTATCATCATCCATCCATCCATCATTCCTCCATCTATCATCCATCCCTCCATCATCCATCCATCCATTCATCCTCCATCCATCCATCCCTCCAGCTATCATCCATCCATCATTCCTCCATCTATCATCCATCCATCCATTCATCCTCCATCCATCCATCCCTCCAGATATCATCCATCCATCCATCCATCCATCCATCATTCCTTCATCTATCATCCATCCCTCCATCATCTATCCATCCATCCATCATTCCTCCATCTATCAACCATCCCTCCATCATCTATCCATCCATCCATCATTCCTCCATCTATCAACCATCCCTCCATCATCCATCCATCCATCCTCCATCCAGATATCATCCATCCATCCCTCCATCGATCATTCATCCATCCTCCATCCATCCATCTATCATCCATCCATCCATCCCTCCATCATTCCTCCCTCAATCATCCATCCATCCATCCATCCCTCCAGATATCATCCATCCATCCCTCCATCGATCATGTATCCATCCTCCATCCATCCATAATCCATCCATCCCTCCATTGATCATCCATCCATCCATCCATCCTTCCACCCATCCCTCCATCATCCATCCATCTATCATCCATGGACCCATCCATCAATCCCTCCATCTATCATCCCTCCAACGCTTCTTCCACCAACCTCTATCTTGTACATCTCTATTCTGCACATATACATTTATCTTTGTCCGGTCCTCTTTCATTTCAGCCCCTTTTGCTCTCTTTCTCCATGACTCACTGACCACCTGTGTGTGTGTGTGTGTGTGTCTAAGAGAGACACAGACAGAAGAAACAACCAGAGTAAGTGTTTGACATTCCACTGGCATCCCATTCTCCCTCATCTCAGCCCTGCGTCTGCTGGGAAGTCAGAGCACACATCTCAGAGCGCTTTCATTGAAATGCAAGCCAGGCTGCCATTCCCATCAAGCAGAGAGAGGGAAGGAAGGAAGGAAGGGAAAGCCACAGATAGTGGGTCAGTGTGGCCATGTAAGAGACAACAACGCTGGGAACAGAGACACCAATGTTAGTTAATCCATAAATCTGACTGCGTGTCTGAGCAGGGCTGATCAGAAAAGACTGAAACGATCCACTAACCAGGCAGAGACTCAATAACAGCAGAGCTGTTGGGGAACAGAGAAATTAGCCAAAAAACCCATCTTACTAGTCAGTCTCCATTCCAAGAGGAGATGTGGGTGTGGCCAAAAGAGGGAGCTGGCAAATCCCAGCAGCGTAACCCGATTTTGAAAAAAGTGGAAGAAACGCGTGTCCCTGCTAAGGCTAAATGTTGGCTGCTGTAATACAAGTGTAACCTTCAGGTACACGAGTGCGTCACACTTCACACTCAGGGCAGCCGGTCATATGGTTTTGTTTGTCTTTTTTTCTCTCTTTTCCTGTCGCCCTGTCAGCTTTGGCATTATTCATCTTAATTGTATAACAAGAATAAATCTTAAATAAATAATATTGGCTTCTCACCCTGACCTTTGGCAAAGCAAAAGTGTTGTGCAGAGCCCACCACTCAGATTACAATTCTGCTGCCATAATGCTGAACACGACAAAGGAAAGAAAAAAATATATATATAAACAAACAAATTAATTAATTAAAAAATGAATAAATGAACATATATATATATATATATATAAATAAAATAAATAGATATGTTTAATAAATCAATACAAATCATTTTTAAAAAAATCATGATTTAAATCAATATAAACAAATACATGAATAAATAAATAAAGATAAATAAATAAAGCCACAGTAGCTCAGCTTTCAGTGTGTTGAAAACAGGGCAACACCTGGGGCTGCCTTTTAGCTCCGAGGAGGGGCAGCCCTTACCTGTGTGTTTCCGCCCGCTCTCTCCGGCTACTTTCAATAAAGGCCAGTACTAAAAGCCAATGAAATGGATGAATAAAACGAGGCACGTCTCCATTTCCTGAACCCGTCAGACCCCTTTCCGTGGGGGTATCTTTCCCCTCCCGTGTGTGGGTGCAGGTTGATTGTGTGTGTGTGTGTGTGTGTGTGTGTGTGTGTGTGTACCTTCTCCGTCAGCAGCGTCGGTGCTCTGAGCCCTCCGGCTGGCCGGGTTAGCTGACTGGGAGCTGTACTGGTACAGCTGGTTCCCCCTGTCGTCCTGCTGGCCTATCTGTGTGAGGTCATGCATGCTCAGGCTGCGCAGCTTTTCTGTTATGGCCCCCTGGCCCTGTGGAACAGACACACAGCATTACCACCATCACTCCCCACCTACGACCAGACAGGATGAACGGGACTCATCTGGAATGGAATGACTGTGATTTGGGTTTGACTGTGTGATAATGGATGAAGCGGACTGTGTTGGACTGCTTGAGTGGGGCATTGTTTTGTAAACTGCATCGTACTGTATTAACCGTATGAACTGCCTTAAGATGACTTTTGTATATTGAAAAAGTGATTCAGACTAAATATTTCCATTCAAGCAAAAAAAAAAAAGGCTCTTAAACAAAAGAAAAGGATCCATTACAATTCTAAATCAGTTAACAAAACTTAAATCTTATATCTGGGGTTGAGACAGCATGCTTTTTCTTCTCATTCATCGTTGTTTTTTCTTATTTGGAACTATCCAAAAGATAAGATCGATCCGTTATAACAACATCTAAAATACTTTTATTCACTGACAAGCAGTTTAAGGGCAATTAGACTAGAAAAACTCACACTATTTTAATTCAAAGAAGTCTTAACCATTAAAGCCAAAAATAATAAGCCAACATAATTGTAGAAGCACGACATTTCCCATTATATGTAGAAGTGCTGCATCCAAAACAATATGAAACTATAAATCAGCCTAACTGGATTATTCATCATAGTTCTGTCAAAGCAGGACAAGGAGTGTGAACAATGAAATGGAAAATGTAACAATAAAAAACATTTAGACTGAGTTATATATTATGACAACATTAAATGGAATGAGTGACACAAACCTAGCCTCAAATGTCCGAGAACATCATGTGATATGAATGAAAAGGGTCCAGAAACACATAACGAGTTCAAAGCACCTTTTAAAAACTGGCCATTCGGAATTCAACACTGATGTTTTCACGTAGTCCCAAATCAAACAGTGGTGGGAAAGAATGAAAGGACAAGAGAGCTAGATGAAGATAGTGAGAGCTCTGTCCATGCTGCACACAGGTGGGTTTTTACCTCCCAGAGGAGTCTGCTGAGGCACACAGACCCTACAGAAGTGTGTCAGTGCAGGCAGAGAAAGGGAAACAAAGGTCACAAGAGGGTTAAATGTGGAAATGGAGGAAATGTCCAACACACTTTTAACCACATTTCCTTGTTATTTGAAAAGCTAATAAAGAACTGAATTCTTTATTTCCCATCCCGTGTCTCCCCATTCCATAACTTACAGATCTATTCAGAGCAAAGGCTAACATATATAATTTATGTCTGCCAGCATTTCCAAACTTTGACCCTATGTGTGTTATTTCTGGAAAGCTTTAAGAATTGAAGGGCTTTAAAAAGCCCTATTACTGTGCTCTTTCCATATCAAATATTTCAGATGTAAACTGAGGTTTGACAGTGTCCTTTTCTTGTGTTGTGTGTTTCTTTAGATCCAGGTAGACACTCGAGGAGAAGGCTCAGAAGTAAGGTCATAAAGGGAGTCCAAAATACCTGGTGACTCCAGGTAATGAGGCTCTGAACTGCCCCAAGTAGTGAGTGTATGCCCTGCCGTGGACTGGCTCATATTTTTGGGCCGGCCTAATTCTTGTGGTGCCTTTTTGTCCACAACAGGTAGCTGCTCTCAGACAGAAACTCTAAAATACTGAGAAACCTCTAGACCTCATCACCTTATGTCGACTCGTTTTCCACAGCCAAAGATAATCCTTTAGGCTTGTATTATAAACTCTGAGCTAAGTTTTGGTGCGATTCCTGAGGCATATCAAAGAAACCTGGTTTAGTGGAAACAGAAATCAAGGAGCTGGTTGGAGATTTGGGACTAGCTTCAAACATGCTATCAACGTCTGAGGGGCTAACAGCTGCAAGTGTGGGAAGTCTAAAAGGCATTTCAATAATAGTAGAAATAATGGATTGAAAGCAGAACTTTTACTATGAAGTGAAGTAGAATCTGTGCTCAGAAGACTTGCCTTCACAGCCGCAGTGACAGCAGCAGTGGCAGCGATGCTCAGCCCCTGTTTGCCAAAGTTCACCATGGTCTCATAGCTCCTCTCTTTGGCCTGCACAATGTAGTCATCTATCTCCTAGAAGAACACAATCAATAACTGTATTAGTAGACCGTTTAGCTCGTGTATAAGCAGAGGTGGAGGATCTTACTCGTTCTCGAGACGACAGCAGAGGGTGCAGACACTTCCTGTAGATGAGACTGGCTCCTCTGGTGTATGGAGACAGCAGCCAGATGACAAAAGCTATCTTCAGCTCATAGTACAGAGGGAACCTTGGCACACAGAGAAGACGCATTTAAGCACCATTCCAGGACTGAAGCCTTAACTGGAGTCCTAAAGGGTTGAAGGTGTACTCCCTTAGACCTGTGCTAGTCAGGCCTGACAATGAAAGTGTTATCTGTACTTAAGGTAAAGCTGGAATTCACTGAGGTTGGCAGTCTCACAGATGCACATTTCCCTTTACTTCCATACAAAACCATACCATGTAGTATACACACCATTCAGCTGTACCACTTGTGAGATCATTCTGTCTCGTTTGGGACAGTAAAACTATGTTCAGAGCCTAATGATGACTACTTGGGACACATAATTAGGTAGCAGAAACACATTGGTATATATCTATGTCGGCCTGACAGAGTTATTGTTCTCTTTCACTGTGCTTGAATTGATTAGAGCCGGTTTTAACTGTTTATGGAGGGTAAATTCCCACCTGATAAACAGCCAAAACTGTTAGGTGGTTATCAGCCTGGAGAGGCTGATTAAGGTGATTCTTAAATGAGGTACCAACTGTTTTGAGCTTCTCTTTGTTTCTCTGACTATTTTTATTTGTTGTAGAGGTTTAACTAAATAAGCTAAACACTGCAACTTCGAATTATTTGTTGGAGATGAGCGGCTTAGCTTCAGTCAGTGTCAGCAGAGACTGACCCGTTACTGTTAGAGCCTTTGTGTCATTAGGGAAATAAAGCTTAACACAATTTGCATGGAATGCTGCTTTTCTGGTGTAGGTAGCGTAAGCCTCTGGTTTTTTTGGTTGGATGTTGACTGCCATGGTTTGGGTGTGCTGGGAGTGGACTGGAGTATGATTGTAGCTACATGGGTTAATGTGTGAATATCACTCAATTAGTTTAATTTTGGTTGAATATTTTGTTTTGGTCTTGAATCCGTTGATTTGTTCCTTTATTTAATTGGTTTAGCCATAAAAAACTCAACTGAGGATGAGTGACAAAGGAAGACAAAACAACGACATTCATATTTCTATTTAGTTGTTTACACGTTTTATGAAGCATGCCTAAAATATTAGAGAGTAAACTTACCATGCCAGGGTTAAATCAGTGATGGTCTCTACAACAGTATACAGGGCAAACACAATCCAGTACATCATCCATCGGACCTGTATGCAAACACACACAGACACTAACTCGATGACAATTCTGATTATTCACATAAGCATAAAATCTATATACAAATGTATTTATATGAATCAAAGGATCTAAAACCAGTCTGGTCTTTCAATGGCAAATTGACATGAACTGTCGATATTAGAATAAATACAATAATAAAAGATAATTAGGTGGCTGTTTTTACACTCCATTCCACACAAGTTTTAACACTGTGTGCAACACCCTCATTTTTATGACAGAAACACAACAAAGTCATATACAAAATATGGTTAATAAACCCATCAACTGGTGAAAACAAGGTGGAAATAAAACTATTCATTTGAGGAGGAAGACAAAGGGAAGAACACACCAGGTACAGCATGTCAGAGTTCTAGCTTTAAACACTCAGCTGCTGTGTTCAGGCTGGCTGGATGAGTACACAATCCATATGACAGGGATTTCCCTCCAACTGACAGCAATTATATCAAATCAGCCACTTTATCTTCCAGCCCTTAAAAATGATTGAAGTGTATTTTCCCATCGAACACCCAAATGAGCCACATTTCACGTATGGAAATGGGAAATCTCTCATGGCCGCTTGGGCTTCGGGTCTCTGTTTTCCTCTTTGTCTCCTCCAGATGAGCCAGCCTCCTGTCACTGTTGCTATGGGAGGCAAGTACACTTACATATTCCTTGACATTTTTGGTCTTGACAGCTTTGTAGGAGTAATAGGCTGGGTACAGCGTCCCGAACAGCAGCCTGTCAAGAGAGAGAGACAACATTAAGCCACCCAGCATCAACTTCTGCCAGTTCTCTTTATTCTAGGTGAGACAATGCTTTACTTATGATAATTATATGAGTTGAATAAAGAATATCACATTCATACATCCATGACAGATGTAACAACACTGGCAATTTTAGAGCAACTCACCAACACAGACATATAATGTATACAGGGAGCAGAAGCATTAATAAAATGATATCACACGACCTCCTCTGTGCTCTTATCTGTACAGCATTTATCACTGCTGACAGATGTACAGAGAGAGCTCCAGGAATGCCTAACCCCCCCCACAGTGGGGCGGTCCCACCACCAAAACATGCTGGTGCTCCTCCCACCTCTGCATGCTGAGCTCACCAGGTTACAGCAATGTTTCCTCTGCTGAGACTGGGTCTGGGCTGGAGGAATACGCACAAATGGAAGCTTTCTGTTTGCACCAACTCGGCTCTGCACACCTCAACACGGCCCAGTTCAGGTGGTTTTCATTTACAAATGAGCTCCCAACAGATAGATGGGATTAAATAAACTGGACCTTTGTTGTTAATGAGCGGGACCCCCATCAAGTCATATAACAGCCGGGCCAATTAAGACACTTCAGAGCTGTTTTAGAGTCTGTTCTCTGAGAGACAGGAAGCCAAAGACCTGAGAACTGGACTGATGTGGTCTGGTTTCCTGGTTATGGTGAGACCTGAGAACTGGACTGATGTGGTCCTATTTCCTGGTTCTGAACTGGACTAATGTGCTCCTGGTTCCTGGTTCCTGAACTAGACTGGTGTTGTTCTACTTCCTGGTTCTGGTCAGAACTGGAGCAGCTGGTCCTGCAGCTGGATAACAGCTGGCTCAGAGCCCAGTGAGCAGCTGTTCCAGCAGTCTAACCCAAAATAAACAACAATAATAAAAGCAGAGCAACCAAACTGTGTTTACCTGCTGTGTTTGCAACGTCATAACAGCTAATGATGTCAAAATATGGTCCATGCACATGCATGAAAAAAACAAAACATGATCCTCCATGCTGGGATAATGCAGCAAACCAGAAAAAAGCCAAACCAGTCATTCAAAAGCAGCATAACCAGTCACCGTGAGGCTAGATGCCAACATGTTTACCAGTGCAACGAGGGCCTGGATGCAGGCTGAAACACCAACACTGCTCCACAAGCAGTCACAAGGAAGTTTGACGAGGGAAGGGAAGAAGAGAAATGAAGTAAGGAACTGAAGCAGGCCGTAGAAAACCTGCTGCACTACAATAAACCTTAAAGGACACCACTTCCTGGGATCCAAACACCACCAAGAATGAGTTCAACACTTCTTTTAACTAAGTCAATCAAGATACTCAACCTCTAATCTGGTTACACGAGGCACAGAAAAGTAACAAACACTTTCTAATTAGGAAAGCGCTCGTTTTAAGGGCTAGAGTGAACAGCTTCCCACTGCTTCCTGAGGTCTCCTTTCCCACCGAAAGGATTTATATATTATTAATAAACAAATATTAACGTAAACTATTATCGCTGTATTTTCACTATTTTACCGTTTTTTGCTGTACACACTCGTAGCACGTGTACGTATGTATGAACAGTAATGTGTGTATTTGACAAATTGTGCATTAAACATCACACAATGTATACAAATATATTAAAAATACTTCACTCTAAAACTAAAGAATCCAGTCCAGTAGAGAGTAAATAACAATTAACCCTGTATGAACACAGAGATGCTAACCGGAGAACGCTAAATGAACATTTAAGGAGTAAATAGTGCATAGCTACTAAAATAATGTATAAAGATTAATCACAATCAGAATCAGAAATACTTTAATCCCAGAGGGAAATTATTTATATTTATATTATTACTTATATCCATTTTAAATGAAATAGCATCACTACTTTTTTTTATCCTATCGCGGGTGGTCCTGGAACCAAACAGCCGCCATAAGTAAGGGATCCTGTAATCTATCTCTGTGTTTGCTATTTTTATTGATATTTCTGAGTTTGAATTCTATCACTGTGGTCCCGGGTTTGAGGAGTCAGAGTTCTTGGCTTCTCCTTTCCCCACCAAAAAGAACAACAGAATTAATTCTCTCCATGGTTTCCCAATAATCCAAAACATGACATCACAGCACAGAAACACAGGCTTTCTAGTGAACCACACACACACAACTAGAGGGATAGGTGGGGACTGTGGGGCTCATGCTGGGACACATGGCCCGTGGTGGGTTGGGGCTCCTAAACTGGAGCTGCCCAGAGCTCATAAAGAATGAGGAACGCGTCTGTAACTGAGCTGCCTTCATATCTACCTCCACCTGACACAGCTTCCCCTAAAAGGAGGACCCTTTCTTTTCTTCCAGTCCTTTGGACTGTCTTAGAGCACAGACACAGACGGATAAAACTGAACTGAATGGAATAACGTGTACCAAAAAAATGTGAAGTTAGGAAGCTTGCACAATACCAGCAACCACCAAGTGCTAACAGACTTTACGGCCTCCTCTGCAGACTCTGGGAGTCTCTGAGGCTGCAGCCAACCACAACCACAGCAGTTTATGTCCTGGCTGTTGCTATAGAAACTGAAAAGCTGCCAAAGTTTTCTCTTTGTATCTACACTGTCACCCTCTATAATTTCAAGTCACTATGCAGTTGCATTCAAAGGTACAGAGACATTTTCTACATTTACAGACAAATTCAGGATCCGCTTCTTTTTTTTTTTTTCAGACTAACTGTTGCTATAAAATAAGCAACAACAGCTTGTTTTGCCACAACACAGACAAATTCATTATAATGAATTCAGCTAAATATGATTAATAAAAGAGAGAAAAGCCTTAAGAGCATAAAATTAGCCTTCATAATCCATAATGATTTACATTAAGATGGAATTCACTTCATGGACGTATACAACTTAAAAATCAAATAATAAATGTACACCGTCACTAAGGTCTGAGAAAAGAAATGGACAGGGATTTACGTGGAACAGTGTAGATTTCTATGTTGGAAAAGTGTGTGTCTAAAATGTGTTAAACAGCAGCAAAGCCCTTTTATGACAATGGGGATTATTATTATCATTATGCATCATCACTTATGCTTACGTCCTAAATGGACTACATTTCTCAAATGTTTCCAAAAAATGACAGATTGTTTAGAGACTGGTTGTTTAGTGGACTGAAGGATCATATAAAGCCTTTTTTCTACGATAGGTTCAGCACACTTTAGAACCGGGTGTGTGTTTCTGTCTGTGTCCAACAGTAGCTCCAGTGTACAGCTGAGCACAGCACACTGAAGCAGGGACACAAACACCACTGCTGTGTGTTTCCTGTTAGTCGGGATGCAGAAGACCAAATGAAATGTCTGAGGATATAAAATAATTGATTAGTTTAATCAGCCACAGCTTCACTCTCCTCTGATCTACAGCCCATGGCGAGCAGAGGGATCATGAGCATAGTGTGTTCATCAGTTTGAACCGACACGTCAATGCCTCCACTGACAGAACCAGGCCCAGAGATCAGGTCAGAACAGGGCAGCTGACCGGGTCTGGCTGGGTAACAGCCCTGCCTCGTCCTCATTTCCCCCTGAGTTCCCCAGCCGTTCAGTCCAAGCTGATCTGTGTCTGGTGTAGCTGGTATACCTCACCTCTTCTTCCTCACTCCCTACTGGAGCACTGCTTTGGTAGCTGTCTTCCTTTTTGATTACCACGTCTTTGCTCCCTTCTTTATTCATTATGGCAGAACTGTGGCATGATATGGGGCCATAGAGCAAACTGGAGAACAGTTTTCATAAAAAGTGTGTTAGCATATGTCGCTTAGTCCTCTATATTGAATTTAAAAAGAAATTTTGTGAGCCTCCTCTTAAAGAACGGTAAAGACCAATACAGAAAAATGCATTCCTCCTCAATCCAATAACAAGGTATGGTCTACATTTCTACTTGGGTCCCGTTTCCTGTGTCCTTATAGTTTTTTCACATCTGTTATGGCGTTCTTTATGCTCAGCTTCCAACCCCCCCTTTCAGCCCCCCCCCCTTCATGCAGCTGAGAAAACAGCCCCTGAGCTTTAGATGGACCTGAACTCTGGGCCTCAGGTCAATTTCCCTTGTTTCCTGACATCAAACCCCAACAACAACCAGATGGAGGGAAGAGCTGCGGAGAACACAGGAAAAGAGAAAAGGACTAATAAAACACAGAGAAACACCAGAGACCAGGAGGTAGGTGGGGATTTCAGCTCCACGATTTCGAGCCCCCAGCATCTGGTTTGAGCTTCAGGAAAAAAGAATTTGATTACATGACTTTTCCCCTAAAAACACACTGGATGGATTGTGGAGCAGACAGCTGGGAAGGCCAATGGGACTGGAAAGAGGAATTTTCTGTACTGGAAAATAACATACAGCCTATCAAGTCCAGTGAGGCTGAAGTTATCGTTATCATTAGAAAAGCATGACTCATTAGTTCACATCAGTGACTGGCAGGCTGTATCAGCTCGTACCTTCTGAAAAGATTCTCTCATTTGTAGCATTTATGAAAAAAAGCTCTTTCTTACAAAAAATTGACAAAAGTGTTTTAAGAGCTATTTGAAACCACTTTTGTAGCTTTAGTTGAACAGTCATAGAAAATCCTCAACAAGGAGTTCAACAGCAACTTAATCAGCTGTATAGAAAATGTTCTTTTTTGGTGGATTCACACTGGGTTGGTACAGCCAAAGTCACCTGACAACTATGAAATTAGTTTAAGTACACCATGTTTTCAGGAGATCCATTCAGAGTATAAATGCACCACCCTTCAAACAATGGGGCAAAACGTAGTCAGCCACAGACTGTGCAAGTTCTCCTTAGAAAGATGAAGTCTGTAATAGTCATCACAGGTACACTTCAATGTAAGAAGCAAAAAGAGGAGAAAAGTCCAGGAAACCACATTGTAGGATTTTTTAAAGAATTAGTCAATTAGTGGTGTGGTGGTTAGCCCAGATGGAGGGAGATTACCAGTGGGCTTGTGTGTCTCCCATTTTCCTACAATTGCTCCTATAGCTGATTTCTTCACACCAACCTGCTGGCTATTGTAGATTCCCTCTGCCCAGCCTGGTGGCCTTGGACAGCTTTTTGGCCTTGGCCATGTTTACCTTCAGGGTCTGGCTGTTTGAGGTGTCTTTATACAGACAAATCAAACAGGTGCCATGACAATTACAGACCGCTCTCATCTTAGTAGAGTTCAACTAGGACAACTTGCACAATCAGAGGCTGACTAAACATCTTTTTGCCCACTGTATTTGGATTCAGATATGATTCTGAAACCTGATTTAACATACTGGCTGATACTAATACAATCTGAACTCTTTTAGCTGAAAAAACATTATAATTATGGTATTCCTGAGTGATGTCAGATGATGCTGTAGTAGACCACATAGCACTGTGTACTTTACTAAAGTCCACCTTCCTTTAAATACAGCAGAATGATCCTCTCCAGCACTCACAATCACATCTTTGTCAACTCCTCTCTGCCTCTTTTCACAGACTGCATGTTGGCTGCCACATCAACAGTGTTAGCCGTCCCTCAATCTGGAGAAAACATCACTCTCAGCTTCACTGAAGTCCTGTAACCAAGACAGCAGAGGCGTGTTTCCACTGAACAGGCCCTGTGGGACGGGAGGAGCACAGCAGAGGGCCGCCATCACAAAAGTGGGATTTATCCGAAAAGTGGAATAAATAATGGATTAAAGAAGAGTGTCTGCCATGCATGATCTTTACTGATCTGGATCTGAACTTGGTCTTAAGGACCACTGTGTTGAAGCAGGGACACCTGCAGGACCACAGCTTCACACCCCTGATATCCAACCCCTGTATTAAGAGGCAATATTACATGTGCAAGATAGACTGAGATGGGGGGAAGTTTACGTCTGTGGGGAAAAACAATGCCGTCAGAGAAATCTGTTGGTCAGGGTTGTTGGAATTTGATGAGAATGATTAAACAATCCACTGAAAATTGAGTTGAAGTGATTAAAATACAACATCTGGGTGTGAAAGTCTCATTATTTTCTCAGTCTCAGCGTGTTGAACAGGGACTTTTGTCATAAATGTTCATCCATAACAGCTCTTAGACACAACAGAAACTTGTTTATGTTTATTCATACTTTCACCTAGTTTGACCTTCAATATTTCATGTCACTTCACCTTTATTTATACAGAACATTTAGAAACAACGCGGGCCGACCAACGTGCCACAGAGAATAAAAAGAGGGTGTGGGACCTAATCAATGAGATGCCAAAATAAAAAGACCACTTATATTAATGCAAAAGCTAATCTGTGGGACAATCTTTGTCTAATAATGAGACACTTTAACTGACTTAAATAATTGTGTTGTTCTCTGTGTAGCACAGAGTTATTAAGTGTTGTAAAACATTTTTAAAGGCACATAATGACAATAAATTGTCATAATTGATATGTTTCCTGATGACTGGTCATTTTTAGACAGATGACATCCCCCCTAAAAAGCACAGGGGGTCTCTGGTGGATCCAATGAGAAAGAAAACTAAAGCTCAATAGCCTTCAGCTTCACAAAAGTCAGCCAAATCCAACACCAAACTAGAAAAATTAGATCAAATGAGACAGCTTATGACAGTTAAACAGGTAATCAGATCATCTGTAGCCATAAACCCGTGCTCCATGTACAGAAGGAAGCACACATACAGCTGCACCCACAGGTCTTAGACTCCTGTTCAGAGCTGTTGTGCCTGAAGGCCAAACACGTTCAACGGAAAGGCGTTTCTTTTTCCCCCACCACTCCCTTATGGTCACATTCCAAGACCAATTTATGTAACCCTGACTCTAAACATAGCGATTAGAAACACACCAGAACCAAAGGAAAATTACAGAGGCAAGGGAAAGATATAATCATCACCACCGCTTAAAAAGGCAAAGAAAAACACACATAGAGTAAAAGAATGCACATCTTTTGATCTTTGACATCTATTGTATTCCTTAATATTGAACTTAGACGTTTAAAAAACGGAAACAACAACCAAACACGATGTGAGGAACTCAGTCCAGGCACTAACGTAAAGCTCCCACCTGAACTGTCTGACCCCAGGTGTTACACGGAAATACACACACCTCAAGAAAAGCGACATTTAGCTCCGGCTGACTCAGGTGGAGATGACTATGAATCATAACCACGATGTTAGCATTTCATAGAGATCACAGTTAACCAGTCCCGAGAAAGAGATGCATCTCAAACGAAGACTACTCCTATTCTGTTCCACAACACGCTGCCTCCAGATGATGTTTGGAGTAATGTGGAGTTTGGATAACAAAGGTCAAAACTTAGCTAAGCCCCGAGCGACCGGAGGTCAGCGCGGCGGTTGGTTAGCCGTTAGCTGCGCGCCCCCAGCAGATGTGAAACCACTTCTGGAACTAAGGGAAATCAAACTGGTATTATACTCACACAACGCTTCTCGAAATAATCCAGGACACCATGTCTTCTCTCTTTGTGGCGTGGCTCTGTGTCAGACAGAAGAAGCCGTTGAAGTCTAGCCCTCCAGCGGCTAACTTCTCCCACGAAAACTTCGAAAAGCGAATCCAAGAAATAGCCAGTTATCTCATTTTACATCGGCTGGAAGGGCCTTCGAGCTCGCTATTCAGCCTTTGTGATCACAGCTTCATGGCAGAATTCATCAAATTCCGAGACAATTCCTGTTGTTTTGATGCCGCTACTTTTTCTCCTCGGCTCCACTTTGCTGCTCAGTTCCTGATACCAGAGATGTGCGCAGATGGCAGAGAAAAGCGTGACGTCACAGGGAAAGGACCCGCCTCCTGCCTTCTGCCATTGGCCAGTGCGCGTTATTTACACAAAAACAAATTTTGATTGGCTGACAACCTTTGTCCTGTTCCTTCAGCGTTAGACTGGAGGAGTCAAATTATTTACCTACCAGTTTTGTTATTGGTCCGTTTACCAAGTAAACAATGATAAAGGACAGGATTATGACAGGGTGGTTAGACCAAAATACGCCTTTTAAGAAAATGCGAAAAACAAGATGACGATTAAGTATTAGGGCCATCTTTTTTAAAAGAGGAATTAATTACGAGATTAAAGTCGTTATTAAATATAGAGAGTAAAACCCTTCAGAATGGCCCTCATCCACCGATCACCCTGAGGTCGACCACTTCCAGCCACTTCCCCTCCACAAAAGCAGCACCTGGTTCTTTCTGTGGAAAATATGCATTTTTTACATGTTCTGTTTAACGTCCAGACTCTTAAAACAATCTGATGGTGGTTTCTTTGTGAAACATATTCTAAAGCACATTTCCACAAATTCCAGGTCCTCATTTAATCAAACCTGGTCTTGTTTTGCCTGCAAAGAGACCTGACTTTTCTTATTATAATGTTAAAAAACAATGTTGAAAGCACTTTGGTCTTTCCATATCCTCATGAAGAAGTACAGTGTTTTCACTGCTTAAGAGGGACAGAAGTAACTCATAGCCAAGATCAGTTCAAACCTGTTTTGTGTAAAAAAAAAAAAAAAATCATTAAAAAATAACAGCTTTAAAGCATAGACATTTAAGTGACAAGAGGGATTCATATCACTTAATTTAAAAAAAAGAAACCCAATGTATACATGAAATGCAAACGCTGTGGACCACCTTTTTCTTTGCTTTTTATAAAATCCATACCGCTATAATGGTTTTCGGAACAGTTCTTTTTACACTCAAACTCCATCTGTGAGCCTTTGTGTGTGAGCCTCTGAGCATTTGAATCATGTGTGAATACAACGTTTAGCTGCTCGTGTTTTGCAGTGTGGATGTTTAGGCTGGGGGTGTGGGCTAAATTCAGAGTCTCTTGTTATTCATGACAGCAGCTGGTGCTACGGTGTGCAGAGATTCCCAGTGGAGCCTTTCCAGTCATACAGCCTGTCTGGAACAGCATCATATAGCCATGGGGGAGCACAACACCCCCCC